AAAAAAACAGCGTGCTGGCAGTCGTCCGGCGCCACTGCCAGCAATGTGAATGTTACTGATTTGGACGCGGTGGAAGGAAGAAAAGGGGGGAAAATGTGTCCTAAAAGGCGATTAAAATGAGAAACCAAAAAATAAGCATAAACATGAACAAAAAAAATAATATAAGCGTAAACGAAAAAATTCACTTAAACATGGACCAAAAAAGGCTCATAAATGTTTACACAAATGCACGTGTGGGACAGTTTTCATTTAGACTTTTCCTCCTTTATCTTTTTGGTGAAGTAATCATTCACGTGACCCATAACACTTTTGACGTGGTCTGACAATTTGTTATGGCTCAGGAATATTTCAACGCCATCGCTGCTGTTTTGAATGTCATCGACTGGCCCTATTCCGGAGGAACACTCAAAGGTCTTCGCGCCATTGATGAATGTCGTTGATTTGATTAGCCTGTCGCACTCTTCCTTACTTGGGTCACCGCTGCCACCATTCTCGGCGCCGCTCGAGATGTTCATTTTGTTGCTTCTGTTTCATGTCCAAGCTTATATAGCGGCGTGGCTGCATAGGCATATGCATATACACATATACATATATGTGTTTCCGGCCTATATCCTTTTGCCTCACCCCGCGCGGAGCCTCAGCGCAGAATTATGTGCCTCCCTCCGCCGACCAGAAATGTGACTCGTTGGGCTAAGGAGACAGACAGAAATCCTTTTTCTCTTACAATGGTAGCTATGCTAAAATGAATGCAAGAACCTGCTGCGCTGCCTCATTTGTCCATTCCTCATTTATGATTTCTTCCCTCCGTGCGAGCGTTTGTGATTATAAATATATGTAGATACGGGTAAGCATAAATGTGCGTTACGGTTGGGCAGGCTACACAATGCGCGCTGTAAGTGGCATTTCACCTACGTTCGCAATGGTGCCATCAGCTTGGAAAAAAAGGCTCATCAAAATTGCTCACCAAACAGGAATAAGATATCCTACACCGAGCATTAATAAAATTGGGACAACGTTCAACGGTAGCATATGTACAGCATAACATGTGGACAAATTCGCTTGCTTTATTTAGCCCTGTCTGTTGCGCTATTACTACGTTTTTTTTCTTCTTTCACTATGGTTGCCCCCCCAAATAGCTAATCTCAGAATGGGACTTTTTCTAAATGCCTATTTAGCCTTCGCAGGGACTTCTCTCACACGGAGTTTAGTCCAATTATCTATAAACAATGCTTTAAGCAGAAAAGTGGAGGCTTACAATGTATAAAAATTACTCGGCCCAGTGGACACTAGGAGGGAATTCCCATTCGCCGGTAAATTTTTAAAAAGATGGGGAGCAGCAACAATGGGGCAACTACATGATCAATTCGACAAAGTATTTCAAGAGAAAAAAAAAAACATTCCAAATTGCTGCCAAGTTAACCAGAACGCGGTGAAAATGAAAGTCGTGAAAAGGAACCTGTTTGTAAGTACATATGTTTTTATCCCCAACCCGGAGGATTCAAAATTGGTCATAAAAATGGTAAGCATCTATTGCATAGTAAACTTATCTATTCGGCATTGCGCCATTGCGCATATTTTATGAAGTATGACACACTCTCGTTGGCACTGCGCTTTCAAATTATGGCCCCCCTTTTTTCTTTTTTTCTTTTTTTATGCCCCCAAAGTTATGCACTTCTTAAATTGCGTCGGCTCCCATGGCAGTGACCAAGGGTTTATATTTTTAAATTCTTGAAAAAAAGTTGCGCCTATTTATAAGCAACATGTTTTATATTTTTTATATGCCGCATATGGCAATGAGCGAACAGAAGAATAACGCTTTAATTTAATGTTTCTTTTCCTTTTTTTGTTTTTTTCGTCACGAGCGAAGAAAAGGTGGCTTCAATGACCCATCAGAAATAACCAAGTAGTGCATATACAAAACTATGCAGAAAAAAATATGTAAAATACATTTATTTACACTACATGGCATTACGTAGGGCAGCATTTTTTTTCTGAAAAATAATCCATCAGCCCACGTTTAACAATCTGAGGCACTTCCCCACGCGAACGCATAAGTGGAAGGAAAAGAAAAAAAAAGGCCCCTCCCCATCTGCGGAATAAACATTTTTGTTGCGTTAAATATTAAGTTACATCATTTATGTATATAATACAACGTTATATGGGAATTTTTTTTTTACTGAAAAAAAATTATCCAATTTTAACTCGCAAAATAAACGTTCGCTCAATTTTATGTAATAGAAAATCCCTTTCATATTGTGCGAAACAATAAAACGAAAGAACGAAAAAAAAACGAAAAACGATTACTTGCATCCGCGCGATTTCCCCCTCGTGTCAATTCCCCTCCCCTCCTTTTTTACCAAAATGCAAATATTCGTAAGAACATTAACCGGAAACATCACTCTGGATGTGGAGCCATCCGAAACGATTGGGGACGTTAAGTCAAAAATTGAAGATCAGGAACGAATCCCATCTGACCATCAGAGGCTAATATATTCAGGAAAGCAGTTGCAGGATGTCGGGTTGCTGGCTGACTACAACATCGAGAAGGAGTCCACTTTGCAATTGGTAACATAAACATTTGCCCCCATAAAAATTACATATAAATTATGCATACATATGTATACGTATGTATAAATATTTGCAGACACATGTGAAACAAGTTTACTCTGGGAAGCCGGCCGAGCGATTTTAACACCACGGCCCTATTTATCTTCTTCCTCTTTTCCCTTGCACGGGAGGAGCCACCATTTAAAGTGCACAAAATTCTCTACAATGCAATGTGCATTTTTTCATGGAGATATCGAAACGGTGCTACATCGATGTATATAATGTGTACATACATGCTTCTCTACTTTCATCTCTCCAGCAGTGCTGACTTAAGCCCTTGCATATACTTGTTGGGAACACTTGGAGCTCGCTTCGCCACCGAGAAAACAGTGTGACCTCCTCTTGACACCCTTTCCCCTTTTCCTCTCCCACCCCAGCTGATGCGATTAAGAGGAGGAGCCATCGAACCATCCCTTGCTCAATTGGCACAAAAGTATAACTGCCAGAAATTGATTTGCAGAAAATGTTATGCTCGATTACACCCAAGAGCCACTAACTGTAGGAACAAAAAGTGCGGAAGGACAAATCAATTGAGACCAAAGAAGAAACTCAAGTGAGCGCCTCAGCTCGGCGAGTACCAGAGTGCATGTCGCAGATCATGGGGTGCACCGAAGTCGTAGAAAGATTGCAAATGGGAGTTTGAAGACTTATGTTCGCTCCCAGCCCATTCTCCTGTATCTAATTAAGCTGCTTCATTATTTTATTTAATATTATTTTTTTTTTTTTTTTCACAAATGTATGCATGCGTGCTATACGGGGGAATTGCCCCCACGTCTGCTTCCCAAACATGCTTCTTTAAACCACGTCTTTGAATGACCTTCCAGACGGACCCCTGCGTATATGCACCTTTGCGCGAATGGCCAAGCGAATCTCAAAGTTTTGCGTGCGCATTTCTTGCACCCCTTTGGAAAAAGTATAGACATAGCGATGTGATGTCCGGGAAACTTCCACCAACTCGTTAACATAGTGACAAACAAGGACGGAATAAAAACTTTAAAAAAAAAATTCTATGATGTGAAGGTTCTTTACAAAAGTATAAATCATACCATCGCTGGAGGTGCGACGAAAAAAAAAGGGTCAGCTGCCGAATGCAGGTGGCGTAAAATGCGCGATGGTAGTAACAGCCGTGATCACTGCGACCGCTGCGACCACTACGATCGTTGCAATCGATGCTACTATTGTTGCTGTTGCCATCCTACGGATAATAATTAAAACAGAAGAAGGGGTGAAGCGGGCATGGGAAATATGTACGTCGGTATTCGCCTTTCCGTAAACACACATAGGGACATATACATACGACTTCGAAGGGCCACATGTGTACGCTTTCAAATGTAAGTGTGCGTGCAAGACGCGGCAAAGGCCTCTTATGTGCAATTAAAAAAAAGACGGGCAAAAACTTTTTGCCCACGTACGAATGCACGAGGAGACGAAAAAAAAAGGGGATAAAAGAATGGTGAAAAGAGGAAGAATAAAGCAATCAAATTTACACTGCACTACGCTCTCACGCACGCGATCGCATCTATGCCACTACGCTACAAGCATGTCGAAAGATTAACACGTGAAGAGCCCCATGGACGTTGTGCCTTTCCTTTTCTTTTATGAATGATCAGACCCCCTGTAAGGTAAAACACATCCATATTATAAAAACGCCAAACTGCTGACATGGGCATTCTCGATCGAAACAGCAGGACGATCCTGCATACCGCATGCGCACAAGCACGAAAAGGCTGACAAAAGCACGCATAAACACATATACATACAGGTACATATATATAACCATGCGTAAACTAAAACAAATGATACTTTCCTTTCGCGCGCACCCGTTACGGCAGGCACATATGTTTGTACGAAGCCAAAGGAGCTAGCTGCTAAGGTGCGACGCGAATGTGATTAACACAGGAGGGGGTGGTTACATTATAGGGGTATATTCTCATATACATCTCTTCCCCCCTCCTATGGGAATAACCATGTGCTTGGGCCTCCTCATTAATGAAAATTTCTCTTTGACGCGGCCTCCATAGACATATAAACGCGCTCCCCTAAACGCGCTCTCTTACTCGCGCTCCTTCTGAGCGCTGCGCTATTGCGGAAAGGCCGGGGAGATTTTCGGGGAGGAAAAGCTTTTTTCCTTCACGGGCGCCGAGGATGAAGCCGATTTGTCAGCAACGCCTAGAAGACTTTTAATGTTGAAAAAAGTTGATTCTTTTTTAACATCAAGTTCGGCTAGCGCAGCAGGGTTTACTGGCTTCTTGAACATTTTGTTTTCTAAACTCGGCACGTGGGTGCGAGCGAAGGGGTTGATGTTGACACTACTGCTGCTACTGTAGTTATAGTCTCTACTTTTCCCACTGCTCATTTGCATACTCTGCATACTGCGCGTACTCAGTACATTGTGTGCACTGTGCACATTCTGCATGCTAGTGGTGTGGCTGTACCCTTTCTTCTTTTCTTTGAAGAAGTTCATGTCGTCTTCCTCCTCCAGGAAGAAGTTGTAATCGATTGGCAGCTTCGGCTTGTTCGCGTCCGGGCATTTGTATTTCTGCCAAGGTGGGTGGGGCGTGATGAGAAATACATGCAAAGGCATGTGCGCACACACACGAATGCACCCCAAGTTATGCGCAAGGAAGGGGAACAGTGCTCCAAAATGAAAGTGTAACGGAGGCTTGCTTCTCCTCCATCTCCTCTTTTTTTTTTTTTTTTCCGCTTCATGCGTACCAGCTCCTTTAGGGGGTCCTTCAACTTGAGGGAAACCGAATTCATGAGGGAGAAGTAACACAACAAAATCTCCAGGTCCTTCCGAGCATCAAATAGAACCTTGTTGGTTTTATTTTCCAAAATAACTTCAAACCCTTTCTTAATAGCGTCATGATATTTTAGGTAATCATTTTTTACCATGTTTAACTTGGCTTCATTTCTAATTACTTTGTCCAAATGCTTCTGGTTCGAAGCGCTAACGAGTTGTAATTTTCTAATTTTCTTTTCATAGTGTTCTATGGATGCTCCTAAATTTTTCTTCCTCGTGCATAAATTCTGTAGCGTCTTGATATTTTCAAGGGTGTTATTTGCAGCCACTTTCGCATTTGCAATATGGCTAGTTATCTGCTCCCTCACATCGTTAAATGTGTTAAGTATGTACGATATCTGTTTTATTGTTTCTAGATTCATGTCATTTTCAAAGAAAGACATCAGACTTCTATTCAAATCACTTATCATGATGTTTATGTTCTTTATAACATTCTCTAGTCTCTCCAGGTATAGAAGAGAATGGGAGAAGTAGTTGTGAAGTTGCTTGAGTTGTTTTCTTTCTACGTAGAGCTCGTCATCCTGTTTTAAGTTATCACTTGACTTTCGGAACTGCGAACAGGGGAGGGAAGGATTACACAGTTTGGCATCTCTTGGGGGGAGGTGAATTAGGGGATGGTTCATATAAATCTACATGGGCACCAATTTGAAAACATGCACAAATGCACGGGAGGGAGAATCCCATGTGCTGCACACTAATGTAATCTCATCCTACATTTTCCACTCACACACTATGCCACCACCTGCGGCAAGGTGAAAGCTGCTTTTCTCCATTTTTCAGTTATTTCATTTTTTTACCTTTTCGACGAAAGCCTTCATGTTATTCATTGTTATCGATTGGGGGCTCAAACTTCGAGAAGTAACTTCAAACAAGGGAAAAAAAAAAAAAAAAAAAAAAAGATCTACTCGTTACCCCCTTTGACAATAAAACAAAATATAACTCTTTTAAAAAGAAGCAAAATAAATTAAAACAAAATGAACGTCCCCACAGTTTGTCACCGTACACATTTACTCAGTTGGACACCCCAACACGCGTAAATTACGGGTTAATCTCATGTGGATATTATCTTTGTTGCAAGGCTCATTGAGCTCCCGCATGTGTTACCAGGATTAACACAAAGGAGTAGGCCAAAAGGTATATGCGCCTTTCTCCTTGTAACCACATATTGAATTTATATGTGCATGTATGTAGACACAGTTGTTTTTATTTTCCCTCCCCTGAATTTTTTTTCTTTCCTTTCGAATTGAAAGTGTATGAGCAGAGCACTACATGCGCGTAGATTATTTGGCTGAGCAGCCTCGATTGGGTTAATTTTTTCACGGGTTTGTTTTTTGCGCAGTTGGTACTTTATTCGGTTTTCCTTTTATTCGGTTGCTATTTCATTCGGGTTGTTTTTATTTGGTTTTTTTTTTACGTCAACGCCGCTTTTATACACCCAGCTTGTCTTTGTATATGCCTTTTTTTTCATTTTTTTGCGCTTTCATTTATCCCAGCGTGAGCCCTCCTTTTTTCCACACCCAACTGCGAAAAGATTTTCCGTTATTCATGCATAATGTTCGCTTACGCAAAATAAAAAGCTGAGCATTTGCGGAGATGGGGACCTGCCAATTTGGCGGATAAGTGACGCTTTGCATAGCCTTCGCCGCTGTCCATGGCATTTCAGAAGAATGCAAATCCACCTTAGCCAAACAGGGGAGGCACACGTGTATTTGTACATATGCGCGCATATAGATAAATACGGATATATACATCCATATATATATGTATATACACCCCGCGTCGTCATTATAAGCAACATTTTTGACGTCTTTCTTTTGGCGCGCGCGAACGTCCCACCCGTAGGGCCTCTGCCACTGGGCGCGAAACCTTCACTCGTGATGAGCTGAGCCCCTAGGTCCGCGCATTGTCAGGCGATATACAAAGTAACGATCAGCTTTTCTGTCGCTACATTCAGCTTTTCCAAACTGCGTAGAAGCACGTAGAGTAACAAAGAATGAAACGCGCAGAGACATGTAACTATCTACTTATGCATGCCCATCTCTCTTTGTATGTCCGTATGAGCGTGCGCACTTTTCTCCACTGCAACGTACGGTATCCCAGCTCTTAGGAGGAATTGGCGTGAATGAGCCCTAAAGCTGCTAGTACGTTGGGATTTCACATCACATATATATAAGAACCTGCGCGACGAGAAAAATGGCCTAATTAAAAAGCTCGCAAAAGGCTCACCGGATGATTCAACTGGTAGGATAAAATTACGTGCAGAGATTAGCAGTACATATATACATACCTACATATGCATATAGTTATTATATTATATTATTTGATTTACCTACCATCTTGTAGTAATGTAACACCTGCACGGCGGTTAAAAGGACGACTGATTCAATTTTTCGCAGCGCAGCAGCGCTCACATTTTTTTATTCGCCGTTCGTCGCTCCTTGTTTATAGTTGTACACGGTTTGTCACTTTTATTTTGTTGGTTTAGATTTCTTTTTATTTATTTTATTTTTTCTTTTTTTCATATTCCTAATTTTAAAAATTGCAACTGAAAGTGATGAAAACCTGCATGCCTACTCCTTCGAAGTTTCAATCGCATCGGTAGTTTTCCTTTAGTAGTTTCAACTTTTCATTCGCTTTATCTTTCGAACGTTTTAGCTCCCATCCACCTTTTTTTTTTCTTAGCTTCGGTAGTTTTAGCAGCTTCGACTGTTTCACCCTCTTAGTTTTAATTTATGTGATAAAATAAACGATTGCCCTTTCGCCGTTTTGTTTTCTTTTCGTTCATTCCTTTCTTTTTTTTTTTACTTTCGTTACTTCTTTTCCTTTTTTTTTTTCTTCTTTTCTTTCGTTATTTTTTTCCTTTTTTTTTTTTTCCGTACCCTCCCCCCCTTTTTCCGCCTCGCATTTTACCATTCCATTTGTGTTCTTTTAATGCATAAATATTTACTTTATAATACGTACTAATATATGTTAATATATGCTTTAACGAACATTTCCTTCCCCCCCTATTTTTTTGTTAGTGCATATGAATAAAAGTAATTGTTGTGATATGATTTAAATTCGATAAGTGATTTGAATGTTTCAGTTTTCTCCATTTTTTACTCATTTTTTTCCCATCCTGTTCTGCTTCTCTCTCTTTTTTTTTTTTTTTTTTTAACCATTTTAATTCATACACTTTTTATGACCAGGAAGTATAGCCCTGAGAGAGACGCTTCCAGTAGGATTTATATTCTTCCAACTCGATTGTGTACATTCGCTTATGTTCGCTCGCTTGTGCATATGCGTGTGTACCCTCCTACATCCGCATACGCACCCGCACGTAGCTTCCTGACACGAATCGCACACACGTTAAAAAAAAGGGGCAAGCTAACCAAACCCTTGTAGGAACAAACGCACATTTGCAGTTAGACACGGTGAAAAACACAAATGAGCGCTGCGAAAACGCCACCGAGAAGTGCCAAGGCATACACGTCTAATTATGCGCGAGTGCAGGAGTAGTATCGCTCTAACCCCCCACCCACCCAGACATACACACACACGTATACGCCTGTAGACGTTGAAAAAAATGCAAGTTAGCCAATCGACCAGTCGAACAAATTGCTAACGTGCTTATGAGTAAGTATACCACCAAGCGTTATTGAGTTATACGTACAAGTCGGCAAAATCAGTTGGCGCTGCCGACCGGCCACAAATACTTTCGCGTGTGCGCGTGAGCGTCCGTTCGACAGATAGGAAGTCAGTCGCGTACAGACGCGATAGGATAAGCGGTTCACAGAAGATTAGGAAGTGCTCGGCAAGTGGTCACCTAAACGGTACGCGCACGATCAGCTGCACGATCAGCTGAATCATCTCCGAGACAAGCAAACTAGGAGCCCCCCTCTCTCCAGAAACAAAAAACCCTGAATACACCTGAAATGGATCATAGAGAAAATCACACTGCGAAAAAGTATGAATATCTAAGCAACAACTATGACACCGTGTACAACGAAACAGAAGAAGAGCGAGATACCATGAGTAAGAATTATCATAGTGGTATGAATTACAGCTATGGTCAAAATTTGTTAAACAAAAGTAACGGCACAAGTATGTACGTGAATAGCAACATGAACGGCAGCATGGACGGCAGCATGGACGGCAGCATGGACGGCACGAACGGCATGAATGGGAGCTTCCACCCCAACGCAGAGAGTAACTTCTACTACTCTAAAAGCAACAAAAAATACAACTCCACCATGGAGAAAGAAAAACTAATAAGCAACAAGTCCATGTATAACAAGAACAGGAGCAACTACAACAATATCACCTACGACGGTAACGAGGATGACTGCTCCGAAACTCATTACCATTTTGAAAATAAATACAATTCGGATAAGGATCTAGAAAATAATCGCATCCTAATAGAGCCTGACGACTTAATGGCATCAAGAAGAAATCACATGAGAACCAAACTGCAAGTGCTAATCAAGGTTCTAATAATTCTGGCCATTTTTTTTCTCCTAGCATTTTTGCTAACTAAATTTAAAAAATTTTTAAACCTAATTAATACAGTTATAAAGTGGGTAGGAGAGCAAGGTTCCTGGAGCATCCTCCTTTTCATTTTGTTATTCACGTGTACGTCCCCCCTCTTCATGTCAGTCGAGATTATGTGTGTTGGGGCTGGACTTATATTCTCAGGGGTTTACGGGAAATTTTGGGGGATAATTGTCGCCGTTTTTTCTGTTGCCACTGGATACGTTTTGGGAATGTCACTATGCTTCTTCATATCAAGATATTTACTGCATGAATTTATTTACAAGAAGCTAATGGTTTATCCGATTTACTTAGCATTTAATCAAGCCATAAATTCCAATGGGTTGTCTTTTGTCTTGCTGATTCGTTTGTCTCCCATTTTGCCAGCCTCTGTCGTTAGCTATATACTGGGCGTTACGTCCGTCAAATACAGGGACTTCGCTCTGGGATCCGTTTCTGCCTTGCCCAGTAAGCAAAAAAGCTCCCCATAAGGAGAGACAAACCGCGTACCGACACGAGGAAAATCTCGCACAATTGCGCCGTGGACAGTGGAACGATAGAAGTACCGCTTCAAATGACTTCATTCCCTTATAGGCGCCTAAAATTTTGTTGTTATACTTTTTTTCTTTTTTTTTCCCCCCCTCAGGTATAAGTATATTTGTCTACATTGGCGTTTTACTTCAGGACATTTCCAACATATCTGGTAGGGGAAAAAATTGCAGCGTTGCATAAAAATGGGTTTGGCCCCGTTTGCAACCACTTACACCCGTTTGCAGTAAATTACACCTGTTTGTACCAGATCACATCATTTTACAACAACTTACACCCATTTTTGTACCCCCACCCCCACCGCAGAATTGGATAACCAGTGGGCTAACCTTATCATCCTCTTCATTGGCTTCATCCTGGGGGTAGTTGCCATTGCGTACATTTCCGTCGTGACCAAGCGCAGATTGAATAACTTGAATATAATCAACTCGTCGCTGTCGACTACCAACATCGACATCGAATGAGTGTTCTCGTCCAGTTTCGGGGGAAGTCGAGTTAGGCAGACACCTTCCCGGAGTTACTCCATGGGAGAGGTGCGCGTGAGGTTGCATCTTGTGAAAAAGAGGGCACACATGTGGATATACCTATGTGACCATATGTGTGCACGCACGACACGGAATGCATAAAAGGGGAAACAAACAGTGTGGATAAGGTAACCTCAGGGAAGGCACAATTTGGAGAGTGCACAGCATGGAGAAGGCATTTTGGACATGGTACCATCCGGAGAAGACACATTTGTATCCATTGTTCATTCCTTGACCCAAAAGGCCCACCACCAATTTTGCATGTTTTTTTTTTTTTTGCTTTTTTTTGATGGACTCCCCGTTTGCCCCTCTTTTTTTTTTAATTTTTTGTCTACCCAAAAGTTACTCACGTCACATATCATCTCCGTCTCGCGTGTCATCTTCGTAATCTGATACGTTTGATTCTCCGGAAGAATAATCCTTCACAGTAACGTTAGCTTGTTCCTGTCCCTTCTCATCGCTGAAAACCTTTTCCCTACAAATTTATGTGCACACAAACATATCAATTTTTCATGTGATTCATTTTAACGAAGCAGAATGTCACACTTTCATGCAAAAACCACGTTGTTTTTTTTGAAAAAAATAAACATTTATTTAATATCCATTGTTTAAAAAAAAAAAAAACATCAGATAATTTATTTTTGTTAAAAATAAAAAATGCAGAAATAGTGTGCATTTTTATAGCAATCACTTTCACGAGTATATGCAGTGCCACCCGGTGAAGTGAATAATCATCCCCCCCTTTGCTGTCTCCATAGGCATGTTCTCCTACCTGATATGATAGTATAGCTCTTCCATTAGATCCTTCTCGCTTGATGTGCCAAGTGTAGCAATCCCCCCGCTGTCGTTCTCCGAAGTGTCACCATTAATCTCTTTTCTTTTCTCATTCAGTAAAAAAAACACCTTATTCTTAAATTCGTTTCGTCCTTTTAAAATTATTCTGCTCAACGAGGAAGCCAGCTGGACACCATATATGTCTAAGGCCTCTCTGAGCTGTTAAAATATTTGGTTGTGTGTATCGTGAACGTGAAATGAAGTGTTGCCAACATCATGCGGAAGTCAGCCTTTTTTTTTCTTTTTTTCTGGTTGTGCTTTGCATTTCCGACATTTCTGCACTTTATGCTCGCTCCAGATCATCACCTGATAGTCCGACACACTCTCGAATTCCTCGGGGAAATCCACCTTCACGCTGTTGAATAAGCCAAGTGCGCATTTGCTTATCAAGCTGGATAGACTTTTTCCTTCCTTGGAAAAAAAAAAAAAAAAAAAAGAAAAATGGAAAAATGGAAAAATGGACAAATAGACAAATGGACAAATAGACAAATGGACAAATAGACAAATGGACAAATGGACAAATAAAACTTCTTAAAAGTAGGATGAGACATTTCTCCAGCGAAATGCAAGCAAAGCCAAGTACATTTATGCAGGTTTTGCTCAAACTGGAAAAGGAAATGTCACTCCCTCGGACGTCGATTCCCTGTTGGCAAGAAAAAATGAGTGCATGGGATGTCTATAAAGAGCCTCCCACTAGGCTATTCTTTCCTCTATCCGTTTGCTTATTTGTTCATACGTAATATTTATTTTTATTATTTTTTTTTTTTTACTAAAAGGATTATGTCCCATGTGGATTTCTCCGACTTCTTAACCCGAAACGTGTGACTTATCTGCGAGGGCAGAGCAGAGTAGTGCACAGGGGTAAGAAAAACCATTTTCTCGAAATGGTTTGCGATTGGAAGGCCAGCCCTCAAAGGTCGTGGTCGTTACTTCCTTTAAATCTTTAAAGCATTCCAGGCTAATCAATTCATCCGGGTATATCTCCTCGAGGTTTTCGACCTGTTCGTGTAGGAGCGATAGCTATGTTCCACATGCAGGGACAGACGTGCAGAGACGTACAGACACTCACATAGACACACATAAACGCACATAGTCGCGAAGGCACATGTCCCCCCCTCCGCCATAACCCCACACAATTATGCCGAAAAAAATTTATCACGTTGAAGAGCTCCATCCCGAATTGAGGCCCATACAACTTTAGGAAACTCCTGCCGTTATGAAGATGGGAACGAACCCGTTAACGCGTTAACACGACGACACGTTAGTACTTGGCTCATTAGCACGTTAGCGCAATAACACATTAACGCGCCACCACGAATATGTTTCCTAGGAAAGACGCTCGAATCGAACGCATCCTCCCACATAACTGATGCACACTATGCTAGCAATCCCTCCACCCATTCTCTGCAGGCCCCCCTATGGCTTACTTAAAGCTTTTCGTTATGGAACAGTCAGCTGCATTGTTCCCCCAGAGGGGCATGGAATTTACGTAACGAATTAAAAAGACAAACCCCATATGGATGCCCGTCCCGTTGACATCAACTTTTCCAGATTTTCGAACGTTTACATACATGTTTGTGTTAAAATTGTGCGAAGTCAGGTTCCTTTTCCTGAATATCATATTTCTGCAGTTAGCGACAAATGAGTCCAACAACTCATGTTCATCATCAGTGTGGTGTTGTTCCTCGCATGTGTGTGTAAATTCTTGCACGCCATCACAAGAGCACTTGACATTTATGTCCTTCTTCCACAGGAGGATTAACATCATATAAAAAGAGATTCTCCTATCATACACACTACATGTACTGTTCATTTTTAAGATGACGGATATTTCTATGGACCATTTCCATTCTTCGTCTACATACTCCTTAAAATTCTGTACAAAGGTGTGACTTAAATCCTTGTCAATTAGTAACATAAAATCCCATATTTTTTTTTCTTCTACTCGGACCTTCAAGTGCAAAAAACCGTAAGCCGTTTTCAGAGAGTACAAGAGAATTGTTTTCAACCCAATGCCAAACTTCCCACCTGTTTTGCGCTCATCTTTGGATGTTAAAAAGATCTCCGAGAATTTTTCTAAATCTTTAATCTCTGCGCCCTCTCCATTGTCTCGACAAACTATTTCGTACAGAGATAGCTCTTTCTTGTATTCCCTTATTAAAATCTGCACTTCTTTTCCTTTTCCCTTTACGCTGGTCAGGGCATCGATGGAATTGTCAAACAGCTCCTTCACAGTCATAAACAGGGCGTTCTCCTCACAAAACCCGGTGACGGACAAATTTTTAAAAAAGAAGGAATAAGTCGAGTTACTGCTTTCGTTCAACTTGTCCATCTGTTATGAGCATATTTGTGTGGACGTAATAAAAGGGCGTCATTAAAAAGGCGTTCATGAAAAGATTGGGCAAAAAGTAGCAGTTGGATCAGCGTTTTTTTTTTGTTTTTGTTAGCCAGTCAGCTAGCTTTTTTTCTTTTTTTTGTTAACCAGTCAGCTAGCTTTTTTTCTTTTTTTTGTTAACCAGTCAACCAGCTTTTTTTTTTTCTTTTTTTTTTTTTAAAGTTGTCAGGCGAAAAAATTCAAAATAGATAGAAAAGCGATAAGGAATGCTCAAAAAAAAATTCCAAATTTGCAATTTAAAAAGTCATAGAAGCAACGGTGTGCAAACAAGTCCTGCAAGTTTTTGAAAACATTTATGCAGTACTGTTCATGGGTGCCCTCCAGAATTAAAAACGAAAGGGCCCATAAATACACAACGTGTGCGCATACATGTGTGTGTAACGTGGTCCGTGCAATGTGATTCCCACAGTGTAGTCTTTGCGAAGTAACATGTGCAATGTGTGGTCTTTGAAAAAGTTTTGTTCCCATTTTTGTGAACGTTCCAGTGAGACTTACGAAATGGAAGAATAAGTGTCTATGCGTTCAAAGAGACTACGACAAATTATATAACTGGAAAAAAGAGGCTTACGAAAAATCACGGCCCAAAAATGTTAGCTTGTTTATGCTTCCTTTTTTTGGACGTCCATAACCGCAAGTGTGTCGAGGGTGTTGAATGGGAAGCTTATCCCCATCCAGGTTGAGTGAATTAAAAATGTCTGATATAGATGTTGGATTCGTGTGTGTTGAGTGCCATCCCCTATTACACGGTATAATTAAGAGCAAGATGCATATCAGTGTGGTGGCAGAGAATGGGGACACGCAGCGGAGTGCTCATTACATGAGCACGCATAGGCAGACATAGGCACACACAGCCACACATAGGCACACATAGAGCCACACATACGCTCCCGTCCGTAGATGTGGAGAAGCTCCAAATCGCCCTTCTCGCGCATCTCGAACCGCCCTCAATCCCTCTCCTCACATCTTATATATGGACAGGGGGACAAATGGCATTTTGCTAATTTGAGCGACTTCCAACTTGTTCAGGCATTCCACTTTTATAAGATTATTAGCAGCGGCGTGCTCCGTCTTTATGTAACCCATAGCAATTGGCTTCTGCAAGAGGGGAGAAAAAGCGCTGCTGGTTATGTAACCTATCTCTTCGTGCGAATCTTCATTGGTGTAAATTTTTGAATTCTCCTTCGGAACGATAGTCGAGTTCATGATTAGCCCGATTCGCTTAATAGTTGTCCCGTTTTTAATTTGGTTCATTATAATATGTGCACCATTGAAATCTAATTCCTTCAGCCTTCTCTGACCTAGTACCCATTTATAATTGGATTCGATGGGAGTCAAATTTTCATTGATATCTTTTCCATACACACAGAATCCACTTTCCAATCTCAGTGTATTCAGAACTTCTAATCCACCCGGCTTTACCAAAGAGTTGTTTAAAATGCATTCGTATAATTCTTCCACGTGATTTTTTGGTACTAAAATGTCAAAGCCGTCTTCACCAGTACAGGTATACCTATTTAGTACGCACCCCTCTATCTTATTCAACTTGGTAATATTGCTTGACATAAAGCTACAATTTTCCAGGTAGGTATCATCCCCTATTATTTCATTCAGCACATTGGCGGACTTGCTCCCCTGAATGCATATTGAACTGTGAGAAGTGTACTCTTCGATCTTTACATTCAGTTTGGTATTCTCCAGAAGCTTTTCGTTTAGGTACCTATACACCTTATCCTTACACTGTATATTTAAATATAGTAGCAAATGATTTTCCCTTAGTATAATCACTATGTCATCTATGATTCCTCCTTTTTCGTTTAGCAACAGACTTATGCGACATTCATTTTCCCACAACCCTTTGATGTCGCTACCCACGTACTTTTCTAAAAAGTGTATTTTATCTGCCCCACTTATCTTTAAGATTGGTCTGTACGTGTAATCAAAAAGGGAGCTGCTTGACCTCGTGTGTAAATGTGATGTTATCAGCGTAAGGTCTTTGTATTCATTCGGGATGTAGTACCCGCTGTGGATTTTGAAAATGGCGTTGTTCTTCTTGTGGGCGTCATACAGAATGGTTTTCCTCACTTCTTCCTTTGAACAAAAGGGGAAAAGTGCAAAATGGGGAGAATTTCACAACGTAATTAATCACGCGCTGCATAACGTGGCGTGGCAAATCTGGCGCAACCGTGAGCAGCAGAACCACCGTACACACACGGATGTGAAGGGACAGAACTCGGTGCTGGCAAATGGTCTACACGGGTATTTCCATCGGGTGTGTACATTCCTACACGTACTGCAAAATGTAGTTATTTATTACTTTTTTTTTTCCATTTTAAGGTCCTCTTTTTTTTTTTTTTTTTCTTTAACCTATAACATTAGCGCTAACCACAGTTAGCCATCTCGTGGGTCCACTTTTAACCGCCTCCAAACAGTACTCTCTTTAAAAACTTACCATCTGTTTGTTCCCTGATGAGAAGTACCGAACCCCCGGTAGTCTCTTTCGGTGCTTAAATAGGATCTTCATTTTTACATCTCCTGAGAATGATTACTCTCATTCTGTAAATCTACCTCTCTCTTGAGGGGGATGTTACTTGAGAGCCAGTCACTGCGATGAATACCCTTATGAGTACATTTGGCGCTGCAAAATTGTGTAAACGGTGTAGGGTGGCTAAATGGATACGACCGTTTGGTCACAGTTAGAAAAGTATCACTATACATACTGAAATTTCCAACGTATAAAGGTACACTTCCTAACGTGCAGAACCTTCCCATTTTCTTGCCTGATGCGGGCCAGCCGAACTTACCCCCATCGCACGTACCCCGCTACACTTATATAATGCAAGTTCTATTTTTACAATTTTCGGAAGAACCAAAAAAAAGCAACGCATGTTCGGCTTGGTTGCTTCAATTTAGTGCAACTCGGTTCGGTTTCGACTACACTACATTTCTCTTTTTTTTTTTTTTGCGCCCAGAAATTTTATGCCAACGAAATGGTTGGATGCAAAACGAGCCAGCCCCCCTAACTCATCTTTTTAATTTCATAATGCCACTACGCCATTTGGTGCGTAGGTTTTCCAGATTTTTCTGCGCGTTTGGTAAGATTACCGCGGCTAGCTCTTTAGCTTGACAACTGCACCGTGGCTGCTTTTTCCAAGCGGTTGCATTTGTGTCGTTGGACTCTACGTTTGTTTTGGATCTCAATTCCACCAATTCGGATAATTTCATATTAGCTGCCATTTTGCTCCAGATTGTTCCCGTTTGTGCCAATTGTTTACTAGGCCATTGATTGGTTTGTACCCCCACCCCACCCTCTCCGATGGGAAAACTCATAAACGAACAACTCATCAAGTGCGGACTGTGCTTCCTCCTCGGATTTTACATAAAAGAAATATCCGAATGGGGAAACGGAAAAAAAAAAAAAGTCAGTGAAATCCTAAAGTGGATACGTTCCAAGGTGGAGACAGCAATATGTCCCTACGTGTTGTCATCACATGAGTACATAAAAGCACAGAAGATGGAAGCAGACTTATTTTATAAAAACTTCGATAAAGGAATAATCGACAAATATGCCAAGTATATGAAGATACAAGACATTCCATGTGATTCGCTGGAGAATATTTTCCAGACGAAGGTTTTAATTATCGGCTTGGGAGGATTAGGCTCCCCAGTCTGTCTTTACTTAACCAAATTTGGGTTCAAAGAAATAGGGCTAATTGATGGAGACACAGTTGAGGTGTCAAATTTGCAGAGGCAAATAATACATGCAGAAAAGCATACCGGAATGAATAAAACCCTGTCAGCGAAATTGACGGTAAAAAACATGGGAAATGAGGATGCTAATATAAAATGTTACCCATTTTATTTAGACAAAACGAATGGATTACAGATCGTTAAGAATTACGACATTGTTGTCGATTGCACGGATAACATTGCGACCCGATTTTTAATTAATGATCTGTGCGTTTTGTACAAAAAGAAATTAATTTTCGGCAGTGCACTAGGGCTATATGGACAGTTAAACGTTTTTAATATGACTAAAGAAAATTCCAACTGTTATAGGTGCTTACAAAACTTCAATAACCACACAGAAGAAAATGACTGTGATGAAAATGGAATCCTCTCCACCGTAACTGGGATTATTGGCATTTTACAGGCCAATGAAGTGATCAAACTGTCCGCTAATTTGAACCAGGAGAGTTTGCAAAATTTTTTAACCTACAATAGTCTATCTAGTAGGAGGCCATTTGAGACACTGAACATGAATCGAAAGAATCAAAATTGTGTTTGCGCCTGGGGAGACTCTGCAAAGCTGCGGGAGTTCATCGATCGAAACGATTACCAAGGTGGCGGTGGCAACGCGACTGACCTCGCCTGTGTCAGCGGCAAAATCCTATCCTCCTACCAGTACGACATAGGCGTCCTCCACTTCCTGGAGGTCCTGAACAATGATTTCTCCTTTTTCCAGTTCGCAGTAGACCATTTATGCATTTTGGACGTACGTAAGCAAAACAACGCAAATGTGTACGGCTTAAAGGATTCCATCAAGTGGAGCTTCTACGACATTATGGAATCTATAAACAATTATGCCAACAGCTCCAACCACCTGACTCAGCTAATTTTGGACAAACTACAAATATCCAGACGTACTGGAAATGTAGTTATCATCGTCATATGCAGACGGGGTATTGATTCTTTGAAGGTTGCCAAATATTTTAATCATTTTTTCTTGGTTGATTCAGAAGAGGGGAGCAGAATATCTCCCCGTCAGGATTCTTCCCCAGTATCTACCCTCGAAATTTCCCCAAACCAAAAAACTTCCAATAAATCGGACTTTCAGGAAAAGCAGATTTTTACCTACAATATGAAGGGCGGCTACCTAGAGCTTCAAAAAAGGGTGTTTAAAAATTTGCCATTTTTGTAACCACGTTGGGGTGCACATTATCGTGGTGACGAAAAGAATATTATGATGTGCTTTTACGTCAGAGCATAATCTTTGCAATGGCTTGGGAACCTCCCCATATACGCCCCTTCAACGGTTAGCAGCTTGTCTGATTGGCCCTGCTAAGCGGCACTTTTTCCGTTGTAGATATTTGTCCTGGGCTCCTCCCTCCCGCAGTTATATGCATACACAAAATTTACATAGAGCTGCTGCTCTTCCCCATTTGTTCATCAATTTTTTTTTTTTTGTAAACTCTTCCCGACTGTTTATCTCCACCCCAATTGCCTTCTGCAAACAATTCATTTGGTGAAAATGAAATGGCGCTTCGTCAAATGGGGCGGAAAATTTCGATCTCCATATTTTTTCCAGTTTTCTCTAGTATCAAATTTTGAAACAATGAAGCGAAAAATCCGTTTTTGCCTCTCCGTTTGTGCCATCACGATATGTGACACGAACGTTGGCAGTTTGAACGAAACATTGTAACGATGTGGAGTTGCCAAAGGGGCGAAAAAGCGCTGAAAAAAAGGGGAACAAATGTAAATACATATATATATTAATATACTCATGCGAGTGACGCGCCTTCCCCCCAATTGAGCAGCGGACCTTTTCCCTGCCCCTTTTTGGACCACAAAAAAAAAAAAAAAAAAAAAAAATTAGCTGCATGTTTTTATTTCAGCTCATTTGTAGCATTAAACAGCAATTTTTTTTTTCTTTTTGAACCTACAAGGAAGAAACCAATCTAGCATAAAATTGTACGTATGTTTATCCTCCCGTACATTATATGGTTATATATGTTATACCCCTCTGTATAGAATGGCCTTTTTTTGCATAAATCTACCGAACTGGCGCGTGCGCCCCGGCCTGACCCCTTAATGAGCTTCACGCCAAACAGGGGAAAAAGAGAAGCGTACAGCAAATCTCCATTACTTATCGCCATCCTTACTGATACCATTTTCTTCATCCCCTTCTCATGGCGTATGCTTTTATCAATGCTTACGAAACATAGGGGAGGAAGGAAAAAACGCCGAACCGGATTGAGGAATCATACGCTTATGTAGGTTCTACCCCTGGAGCAAAGAAAAATAAAAAAAAACTTCCCATGAAAACGAGAAAGAGCGCCAAGTACGAAGCCATTTTGAAAAGTGAAATAAAACATTTTAAGAGGCACGAAATGGTGGGATTCATTTTGAGCCTTCCCTTGTTCACCCCCAAAATTAAACTGCAATTCCTTGAACCGAATGCTTCTCGTATGTATATAAAACACTGCACGCATACGTTTCATCGTCCAGAAGCACATACAGTCACATAAGCCACATGCATAGACTTAGCTTAACACCCTTCCGGCGGAACATGCATAACCCACTGCTGCGCAGCCAACCGAAGAAAAAAAAAAACTTTTACATTCTAACCACACAGAAGAGATGAATATAAAAGATTTACTACACAATGAAATTATCATAATAAAAATAACCGAATTTTTGACCATACTGGAAATTCAAAATTTAATCATTTCGCTGAGAATTAATGTTAAGACGAACTTGTACTTTATGAATGAGTGCCTGTCCATATTGATGGACAAGGAATACACGGGGGAAGAGGAGGGAGAGGACGCAAAGGAAAATTCAGGAGTAAAGGACAAAGTTGAAAGGAACGAAGAAGAGCCACCCCCGTCTTCAGCTATAGCTAGATCGAATCTAAGTGCGAACCAGAATGATAGGCGTAGCCCCTTCGAGGAAAACGAAACACGTGAGAGGAATCCCAATTGGAGTAGAACGACTGTACAAAATGAGCCCTACCCGAACGGGGAAGTAATCGATTTGGTGACCTACCAAGAAGCGCACGCGAATAATTTGGAGCACCCCCCAAACGAGGAAGCAACAAAGCGAAAAACAAAATCGAAACAAAGCAGCTATAAAAACTTTTACCAAAAGAACATAAAAAAAGTTGGGAGCATGCGATCAATTAGGGAATGCTTGAAAATCGATTTTTACTCGAAAGGGAAGAGACCGCTACACAATAGAAACTCCCAAAAAGAAGGAAACAGATGGTTCAGAAAAATTTGGCTGTACACACATCTCTACCACGAAATAATAGATTTGAAAAAAAAATTTAAAAACGGATTTTTAAAAATAAACAATAATGAAATGGTGCCTAAAAATAGGATCAAACGGTTTGATCTTTTTCAGCTTTTCAAAATTAATGGAAAATTTTATTCCATTTTTGATGCCCCTTGGGTTTCTGTATATTTCCAATTTTGCTTAAATGCCATTTGCATCTTCTGTCAACAGAAAGTTGACAGGAATTCCTTATGTGTATTTGCAGAGAAAATTAATTTAACTGTATCAAATAAATTGCTTTTAAATTATTTTAATCATATTATAAAATCGGGGGAGCGTAACGTGCACGTAAACAAGGAGGATAATAGTGGTCAGGCCATTACAGATCACGCCCCTGAGGGAGGGGATGGCGAATTGGGGGAGCCCCCACAAAAAAGGAAAAAAATAAGCGTCGATTCTACTGAGGATTGTTACGAACTCGATTGTGCATCCCTCAAGGGTCAACACAGCGGTGATGATTGCGACAATGATGTGCGCAAGGAGGATAACGCGAACGCCTGTTGGTGGCGTAGAAGTGTTGACACCCTTCCGCTCGGGGGGAAGAGCGATTCGATTTCCATGAAAGATGTGAAGGGTTCCTTTATGGGAAGTCATCACGATTCATCCTCCCCGAGGGGTGCGAACGATTCCTTCTCCATGGGAGATACGGAAAGTTCGCTCGCCATGAGGGACATGGATGACCGCCTCTCCCTGAGAGACACGAACGATAGCACCTCGTGGGGCGGAGGGAGCACCTTCGGTGGCATTTCGTGGCAAGGCACAAACGACGACGCGCCGCTCAACTCGAAACCCCCGCAGAGCCGCTCGAAAAACCAGCCGAACGAAGAACTCGTTCAAATCAGAGAAGAATTCCTAGCCGTAAGAAAAACGCACATTTTCTGCGACGATTGCTCAAGGATCCTGGAGTACCGAATGAACATCAAGTCTATCTTTGAAGCGTTGAAAAAAGATTACGAATTGTTAAAAAAACTGAAAATCATGACAAAGACGTTTAAGATCCCCAAACATCTTTTTTGTATGTGTAATTATTTTTTTTTTAAGGACAAATATATTTTGTATTTTAAAAAAGTCTCCAATAATTTGCAAAGTTTGAGAAAAATATTAAAAAAAAAATTAATAAACAATTTTATATTTACCTTTTCGCTAAATTTTTACAAATTTGTAATTCGAGCACTGCTAACATGTGATGACAAGAAAATTTACCATTCCGAGGACATCTTCCTGTTTGGCTTTTACGTCAAGTATAGGAATTTACTCAATATGTTTAACAGCCCCAGGATTATCTATGTTTACTACTCCTTCCATGTCATTTTGGAAAAGATTAAAAAGCTTCAGCTTCTTTTCACTCATAAGCATTTCTTAAAGTTGACGCATGATCTGCACTTTGACGTCGTTGCTATAATTGAGAAGCTCAAACGATCTGATGCCAAGAGGATTTACAGGGGCATTTCCAAGTACATCTATGACCATGTGAATGAAGACATGTTATCCACGACCAGCTACGAGGAACTATACGTGTACTTTTTCCAGTGCGTGAAGAATTACAGATTTGTCTAGCGAGGCCACCGCAATGTGTAGTTAGGCTATCTTGCGGGGGGGTTCCTATTCACATATGTGTGTGCAGGGACAGAGAGAAGGAAAGAAAGAAAGAAAAAGAGAAAGAAATAGAGGCAGACAGAGGAACTACATTCCACCTGTGTTGATGTGATTTTCCATCAGCACCTGGTCTCATTACAAATTTTGTACCACTCTGTGAAATTTTTTGTGCATTTTATCATGTACATATATTTTTTTCCCTTTTTTAATCTGCTCCCTCTCCACACCAGTTTTTTTTTTTTAGTGTTTTAGCCTTTTTAAGTTTTAATTTTATTTTTTTTTCTCCCGAATTTCCAACTTAACCCATTTTGCTTCTATCCAGTGTGTATAAACACTACATATGGATTTCCGTTTTGTATGTCTTTTCTCCTCCGTTGCACTTCCCCTCCTTTTCTTTTGATTTCTCCCCTCCTTTTATTCTTTCATATTTTTTTTTTTTTTACAACTCACCGCATAGATATGCGGAATTTTACTCACGATATTTAATTCCACTCTGAGTAAAATAAAACGCACTTCTCCTTTCTATGCCTCCTCCTTTTCTTGTGGACCTGATTACACTTCGCAAAATGCACATCCTTTTTTTTTTGCCCTCCAATATAGGAAAAAAATCGTAACTCACATGTACACAATTTTTTTTAAAAAGAATGAAAATTTTACTTCAATCCGAAGCGTTATGTTGCTTAATGGTACAAAGAAATACAACACTGTTTCGAAAAAAAAAGGGGTGTAACTCCCCGCTGTGCGCTTTGAAAAAAGAGCTGTCCACCCTTAAAAAGGGTGGAACAGCAAAACGGAAACGTGTAAAGACGCAACATTTGCTAAACGAATGCATAAACTTACGATTAGCCGTGCTGCTGTTGAGCACGACGCACGCTCGTCCCCCGTCGGTGGCTCTCTCATGCGCAGGGGCACACAAGGTAGCATGCGCCAACGCAGTCGAGGAACCCAGTTGAGTAAGCCTGCCCATTGGACTTGGCACATGGTTGCGTCTTCACTTCAAAGAGATTCCGCTTCCTATAAATTTCTCCCATGTTTGTATCATTAGCCATCTCCCGCTCTTTCCCTATTTATATATTTACGCATATGCCCACGTTACGTAGGCTTCCCTGCGCGATTGCCTCCCCCTTGGGCGAAAGAGACTCCCTACGACAACTTGTTATTTTCTGGTATATCAAATAATTCCCCATGGAAGCAGATCAAATAACATGATACGAGGAAGCCCGAAACCCTCAAAATGATTTTCCACTTGTCCGAAATTATGTCCTTCGGCTTTTCTCGAAACATTCCTGGGTAAAACATCTTGTACTAGTTGCGCCGGATGGGGGGGAGAAAAAATGGCAAAAAAGAGCCGAAAAAACGCAAAGAAAATACGGAAAAAAGGGGGAAAATAAAGGTGACGCTTAACCACTACAACAACGCCCTTATGATATTTCTACACGCTGCTAAACTACTTAAAGGATAAAAAATTGTTTAAAAAAAAATTAATATTCACATGAATAAATAATAACTGAACGAAGGAACGCAGTTTTGGTTAAAGTTAAAAAAGCATAAAACCTGGAGCAATTTTTTACCCTCAGGCAACATTTCTTTCAATCGCACATATAACGTAAAACATCTTTGCAGTCGTATGCATATGCCAAACGCACGAATAAACAGAGCATGCGTTTGCCACAATTTTTTTGTTGGCATCTTTCGGGGAATTTTAGAATATGCCGTTCCGCATACGTACGTTGTGCAAATCTATATTTATACATTTGCAAATTTTTTTTTTTTTTTTCCTCAAAATAATTTATAGTGCCTGTCGAAAAGGCCTTCAATTTCCGCTCACCACATCTTTGGACTTCCCTCGTCTTCTCGCGCGTCATCGTTTGCCCATGTGTTAGCGGAAACATTGTTGCGTTTTGTTTTTTCCCCTCTTACGAGATGGCCAAATATTTTGGGCCAAAGGAAAGGACCGAAGTGTACATATACCATGTACATGGCGTCATTTCCCTGTGCCACCAGCTGCACAAGGAGCTTTTTCGTTAAAACTTTTCCGCCCAACTTATTCGGGGGTTGGTATAGAGCGCTTTCTGGACATGCTCCTCCCGATCACCGTCGGGGCGACCCACATGCGTAAGCAAATGAGCCCATTGAAACCACCGTGAGGAATACTATACAAGCGAACGCGCTACACCACCTACGCCACACCAACAGAGAGAAGCATGCAAACTGGCAAGGGAGAAGAAACAGAAAAAAAAAAATGATAAAACTAAGCGGAATATATTCTTACTGGCATTACAAAGCTTGGCAACGTGCTACGGCTGGATATTTGAGGACATGTAATATACCTTTTTTTTTTCTAAATTTGTTCATACCGTGAAGCAAACAACGCCCTGGGGCGCCACATGATATGTCCATAAAAATGGCGAAAATTAGACTAACCAATTACGTCAGTTGTTGTTTGTTACGTTATCATTCCAGACAGCTACCACTGCGCTCCGTTTTGTTAATTCTCCAGTGCATATCATAGCACATTTTTTTAATTACATCCTCTTAATACTATGTTAATGTCTTGTTTTATTACGTCCCTTTTTTTCTGGGTTAACGCTTTTCTCCTACCGATTCCATGTGCTCTTTTTTCCCTCCATTATTTTCTCATTTTCCATGCTTGCATTTTTTCAACGTCCCCTTTCCCCTACAATCACATATGATATTCCCTTTTTTTTAACCCACTGAAGTTATTAAAAACAATTTAGCGAATAACGAAATGGTCGGTTACGTCATTAACGACAAGCATCCCAAGAGCATACGAGTTGCATGCGACAGGTTAGCCTAGTGCGGTGATACGTGGGGCCAAGCCTCGGAGGGCAAAGGGACGCAGGTAGACCCGTCCCCACATGTGAGTATTCACATAAGGGAAAACATGTCTTTACCCACCGAGTCGCGGTCAAGCTAAACACACAAAAAAGGAGTAAAAGATATGCCACACAAAAAAGGCCTTAGAATAAACACAACACAGCATCATAATACCCCTAAATAGGCAAACGAAAAAAATGAGAAGGGGGGGGGTTCCATGCAGAGGTTCCCCTCAATGTGCAAGAGAAATGCACTTACACATTAAAAAAAAAGGAAAAAAAAAAAATTATATGGCCAAAATTTTACATAGCACACATTTTACATCGCCAACATTTTACATCGCCAACATTTTACATCGCCCACATTTTACATCGCCCACATTTTACATCGCCCACATTTTACATCGCCCACATTTTACATCGCCCACATTTGCCATGCGCCCCACAGGTACATGTACGTCGTTCGGTATAAGAAGACCTTCAGGTACACAAAAAAAATTTGGGCCCATGACGAAAAGAGCGAAGCAAAGATCGGAGACATTGTCCGGATTCAGCCACTGGGGTATCGGATAGGCCCCTGGAAAAATTACATCCTCGTGAAAATTCTGTACAAGGAAAATAAGGAGTGACCTCATCATTCTTTGGCACGTTTCACGGGTGGAGTGGTCCTCAGGGGGGAATAAAACAAATGCGTTTTCGGGGGATCTGTCTTAACTGCCTCCTTTTCTTTTTATTTCCCTTTTTTCTCGCCATATCAGTTCATCGTATGCCGTTGTGCACATGCTACGCGTGGTTTGCAGTCATCCCATTCTCTGTTTGCATGCGCGCTTTTTACTGCTTCGTTATTTATACTCCGAACGCATCTTGAACTCCTTTTATATTTACACTTCGAGTGCCTTTTTCCCCTCGTCAAATATCTCCCACACACACACTTGCGTGACAATGATCACGTTATATTTCTGTGCCCCCAATTTTACTCCTCACAATGGGGACGCCTATTCGACCGATTATAATTGGACGGCGCATTTATATTTTTAAGAAACAAATTCAAGTTGAAGTTGGACTGCCGATTCTCAGCCTGCACCTGGTGGTGCTCCAGCTGCATATCCTTCATAATTAGTTCCCTCTCCTGAATTTTTTTTTTATACGCTTTCGTTATAAAAACTTTTTCTTCCTTGGATGTATCAATTTTGAGTTTTTTCTGAATCAACATTTCCCTTTCCAATTCCCTTCGTTTTGCGCTACCAATGAGGGCGTCCATGTATTTGGACTTTCCCTTCTGGTCGCTTTCCCTCTTATTGAATATGTCATCGATACGGATTTCCTTCTCCACTTCGGCCTTGGCTGCAGCTGTGTCTTCCCTTTCTGTGCTCTTTCTTCCACTTGGACGTTTCGGCAAATATTCCTTCGATCGTTTCTCCCCCCATGTGTCATTACCCCGACGGTGGCTTCTGGTCTCTCCCAGTTCCTTATAGAAGGCGTCATACTGCTTCTTCCCCCCCAACCCGTTCGCTCTATCCTCATGCAGCTTCGTCAACTCGTCGGCCCTATAACCCAGGTAGCGAATTTTCTTCTTCCTGTCTGTGTGATCAATTTTTAATTCCTCCCTTGGTTTTGTTTCCCCCGGATTTTCATGCTCATAAATATATTCTCTTATTTCTTTCTCGATTTGTTTATTCTTTTCTTCATTTATTTTTCTATTTTGGTTGTTCTCCAGTTCGTACGGTTCCTCTTCATCATCTGAGGTCACAAAGAAATCCTCTATTTGGTTCTTCACACTTTTTTCTTTGGTTGTTGCCTTTCCCTCTTTGTTGCTTTTTCGATCACCTTCCTGATTTCCCTTCTTCAATGCCCCAGTCGATGTGCCCTCCTCGTTACCCGTCTTTTGTCCCGCCTCCTCGCCTCTAGTTTTCTTGCCGAGGGATAAATTAATCTTCATCTTGCCTTCTCTGCTCTGTTTATCTGGCCCACTTTTCCTGCTGGATCATAGAAGCGAAGTGGCATTTTTAAAGATTAGCACTTCCCATACGAACTTTTCAGGCGTCCTTTCAGAGCTACTTATATTTTATAAGAAAATATATCTAACGTACGCGTATATACGAATGTGATGTGTTCCCTACGCAGGTGCAAATTTTACAACTTAGCTTGTGCGGTGTTTTAGCCTCATTTGTTTGCTTCCCAATTTTTTTTTTTTTAAATTAATTTTTCCCTGTAATTTTCTTCTATCTTCTTCTCTCTCTTTGTGACATGTAAAGATCATCCCTTCAGCGTCAACTTGGGCGAGTTTCGTTTGCATAGGGATAGATTTCGCGGTCTCATTTTGGCTCGCCCCAATTGAATTTCAGCCTCCCGATTGACCCGAACTTTCCCCTTGGCATAGCCAACCCCCCTTGAGCACGCACCAGCTGTGAACATCGCACTTGGTGCCGTTCGTAAAAATGAATATAGAGGACTTCCTAAAATTCAACAACTTAAAATTATCCAAAGATAAAATAACAAACAGCCTCCAACGCAACAAAATCGGCATACTCATAACCAATTTGGGAAGCCCCGCGAAACCGACTTATTGGGCGTTGTACAAATATTTGGCTAGTAAGGAAAAGACAAAAAAGGGGAAAAAAGGAAAAGGGCACAAAAAATTGGGAAGTGCTCTGAAATAGTGCTACAGGCCCCCCAAACCACCACCTCCGTGGGGATAAACAATTCTCCTTTAAAAAAAAAAAAAAAAAAAAAATACACCCCATAATGCGCATGTACATCATACATATTGTACTGCGTCGCCGCATATTAACTTATTATTTTATTTTTTTCCTTTACCGGACATCTCTACCCTTTTAGAGTTCCTTGGCGACCCGCGAGTTGTCAAGCTGAATCGCTTTTTGTGGCTGCCCCTGCTCTATGGCTACGTACTTCCCTTGCGCAGCGGTAACGATAAAAAAAAAGGGGGGGGAAATTATTTCGAAAAAAAGACACCCTTCTGAGGGCAACCAAGGGGCGCGTTATGCCTATTTACACCGCCGCAAGGTAACATGCAAGATATACATGGCATTTCCCACCTCCCCTGATCACCACCTCATGTATGATCCCCGCAGCAAAGTCCCTATCCAAATATAAAAATGTGTGGACAGACGAAGGGTCCCCTCTATGCGTGAACACGCATAACCAGTGCGCGGAGTTGAAGGAGCGTTTATTTGCAATGTAACTGAGAGAGAGAAAAAAAAAGCCCTTCTATGAATCTGTGTCCGTGTGAGCATTCACAAAAATGTACGATTCGCCTGCTTTCATTTGTGTGGGAAAGACTAATCACTCAGTGCTTGGTGGAATCACACGCTATTTACACGAATGGGAAGCGCGTCACCACTCCAACATAGACATAAGCTTCCTCTCCAGCATCGACATAGCCTCCACTCCGATGTCCACATAGCCTCCACTCCGACGTCCACATAGCAACCACCCCAACGACCACATAGCCACCACTCGACAACCTCGCAGGTACAAAGACAAAGTTGCGATTACCTACGGAATGCGATACGGAGAGAGGTCCATAAAAAGAGCATTGGATTATTTGAAAGGCAAAAACATAAACAAGCTTCTAGTAGTGCCCCTATATCCCCAATCGGCCGAATGCACAGTAGCATCCACGCTTGACTGCGTAGGGGAAAATTTAAAAAAGTGGAATAACATCCCAGAGTTGAGATTTCTATCGGGATACTGCCTAAATGAAAAGTACCTAAACAGTATTACTGAGAGTATTCAAAATTTCTGGAAAATAAATGGAAAGGGAAACAAATTAATCATATCTTACCATTCCATACCTACTAAGACGGTGGAGGATGGAGATCTATATCCTTTTTTTTGTATCGAGAGTACAAACCAGTTGATTAAAAAGCTGAACCTTAAGAAGGAAGATTATATTTTGGCTTTCCAATCCAGAATAGAAGGACAAAGATGGATACAACCATGTATTGAAAATATTTTAAAGCAGTTGTCTTCTGATGGATGTAATGTCGTCGATGTGGTTTGTCCATCCTTTTCCGCTGACTGTTTGGAGACACTGGAAGAAATTGAAATCACCTATAAGCAGCAGTTCCTTCAGCATGGCAATGGACGCCTTCGATATATAAGCTGCTTAAATTATTCCAAAGTGGGCATTGATTTTCTCTTGGGCATTATTGAGGAGAACATAGTTGGATGGTAGGCAGCCAATCTTCTTGCCCATCCCGTCATCTTCCCATCAGATGTGCGCCATTTTATTCATCCCAACGGTACAGAGATATATGTATACGGTGCCGACATAAACATTTGCGCGTTCCCAAGAGGGGGAATACCCTCCCACCCCCTCCCCCCTGCTGCAGACATTAGCAATGCAAAAAAAAAAAAAAAATGTACACAGCTGGGGGGGTATGCAAATCACGGGAATTCTCACCTCTTATTGGCCACCCATCTTTCATTTGGCTAAATATTAAAAAAATTATAAAAAGGAGCACAAAATGGTAACTTCTACAAAATGTTTTTCGCTTTTACCAGTGACACGAATTTTTTTTTTTTCCACCCCCATTTGCTATGTGAATTGAATGCAGAAATGCCAAAATTTGTCGTTAATTCTTCCTTCCCCCCCAATTTTGACAACTCCTCCTGGCACGCATCCATACCCCCGCGCAGAGCAGTATTAACGTAGGTATATATCTGTTCTGTTTAAAAGAATGCCTCTTGGTAATCCCTTGCGTTGCGTCATTTTTGTTGCTACCTAAACCGCCCCTTCTGATAAGCGCTACGCAAACTAAAGAGAAAGCTAAAATGCAGTTATATTTGCGACTTGCCAAGGATAGGGCTACTTTATGCCGTCGTAGAAACGAAAAAAAAAACATAAAACAAAACTAAATAAATAAAACAGAATAAAATAAAGTAAACCCACCTTTCGATAATGAAAGGGGCTTATCCCAAAGGAAAAAGCAATAATGCCATTTTTAATGCGGAGCACAGGAACCTCCGTGCAAATGAGCAAGCCATGCGGGCGTACGCGTATTGCAAACGCGTGTATAGAATAAATCCACATTCGTTTTTAAGTTTAACAATTAGCGATTCTCCAGGAGCACTGTCGGCATACGCATTGGAAATGTTCCCTCGAGTGGATTAAAAAACCAGCGTGCGTAGAACTGTGAACAGTAATTCTTTTTTCTCCTTCTCAAAAAAGCAGAAAAAAAAAAAGAGTAATATGAACGAGCGAAAGTTCCCATAGGAAGAAATGGCCTCGTAAAACAAGAGGGAACCGGAAAAAACTGCCCCTGGGAAAGAGCAAGGATATAGCATAAATAACTAAATAGCGCCCCTTATATTTATACCCATTTTTACCCCCCAACAATTTGATAAGCTAAATTCCAAGGATTAACTTTGTCAGATCAGCTCTCCACTGGCAGCCGAAAAATTTGAAAAATAGACGAGGGCAAAAGAAGATAGGGTAAAGTAAGAAGTTGTTACCACCCCGTGAGTGAAGCACAGATAAAAAAGCACCACCTCGTGACAGAGATCTAATCAACCAAATGGAAGACCCCATCACGAGGTTCTACAAATGCAGAAAAACCTGCTGTGAGATGCTCGAGGACAGGGGATACATCATAACACCCAGGGAGAAGATGGAAAACTTTGCCACCTTCAAGGAACAGTTTGAGGAAAATGAAAAGCTGTAAGAAAAAGCACTTACAAAATTCACACGTGTGATAAAGGACATTTGCAAATGCATACTCCTCCACGTTAGAAAAAACATTCCGTTTTTTTTTTTTTTTTTTTCCCTTTTTTTTAAAATAATAAACCGCTGTGCAAAGAAGCGTGTACCATGATAAATCCCTTCCCTCCCTGTCCCTTTCCCGCGCTTCCATTTTCAGACGATCCAGAATGACTATCATCACAAGTCATAAGAACGACGCGAACAACAAAATTATAGTTTACTTCGCAGATGAAACTAAAAAAACAGGAGTCAAACCTTTGAGAGAGTAACACACAAAAGACGCTAAAATGCATGCGACAGTCGGGGTCCTATCTACTTATATAATGTCACCTCTTCACACGTGTCGCCACCCTTCACATACAATTTTAACTTTATGTAAAAATATAACCATACAGGCTGACGGAAAAAATGGATGAAAAGTCAATTCAGAGAGCAATACTTGTGACGCAAAATACACTGACACCCTTCGCTCGAGATGTAATTCTAATGCATATAAGCATGATATAATAATTTTGTTCCTTCTTTTTTTATATATAAGGAATGAACCTGGTTTTTATTTATTTATTCATTTGTTTATATGTTTATTTTTTTTTCCACCTGTCGACACCTAGATGTTTCTGTTTGCACTCCTATATAGGCAATTAAGGAAGCTGCCCCGAGACACATCATAGAAAATTTTTTGGACACCGAATTGTTGGTAAGCACAGTTAAAAAAAAAAAAAAAATTAACAAATTATTTGTGTTAACGCAAAAAAGGCGACACTTTCGCCTCTGCAAACAGGTGAAAAGGGGTATAAACTTTACCACCTGGGGGTCTCCATTTTGGGGGGTGTCCCCTCTCACCCGCAGGTAACTCCTGACGCAACAATGATATGTACCTCGTCCATTTCGACTTCGCCAGGTTAACATAACGAAGCACGAGCTCGTTCCAAGGCACATCCCCCTTACGAGTGACGAAAAAAGGAACCTCCTACAAAGATATAAGGTAAGACAATGAATGAAACCACAAAGAGGAGAAACATGCAAAGGAAAAGAAACGCATCAGCAGAGTAAAATTGTGTGGTTGCTACGCACTATTCTACTTCCTTTGGTGTGGTGTTAAAATTGATCAAACGGGAAAAAAACTCCTATGCTTCGTTATGTTAATACTCGGATTGAAGAAAGCGGGAAGAAGAATTTTCCATTTCTACAATTCTGCCGCATGCACGTGTTCCCTCTGTGCTGCCCCGCATATTTAGCCCACTTCTTTATTTTCAGATTAAAGAAAACAAGTTGCCTAGAATTCAAGACGTGGATCCTGTCTGTCGATACTTCGGCCTCGCAAAAGGACAGGTAAAAAAAAAAAAAGGTGCTAATGGCAAGGAGGCTGTTCTCGCCGCATACCGTTCCCCGTTCGCCCATGCTCTTCGTCCCCCATCTGCATCACATTTTTGTATGCTTTCCTTATTTCATGCTTTTCCGTTTCATTTCTTAGGTTGTTAAAATAATCAGGCCCAGTGAAACAGCTGGTAGGTACGTGACCTACAGGCTTGTGGTTTGAAACCCACCCATTTCGTGTGTCGACTTAATCTCCCTGCAGATTGCCGATCCATTTTTGTCATTTTTTTTTTCCTGTATTGTTCCTATTTTTTTGCTGTTTTTTTCCTTGTTACCACAATGTCGTGTGAACAGGCATTCATGCTGTTCCCGATTTCACGCCATCCTAATAGTGAGCATGCGTGCAGCTGCTTCTCCGATTTTTTCTCCCCCACGCATTAACCGATTTGAATGTTTGCTTTCGAAACCCCTCAGCTCCCTTTCCACCTCCTTCTTATTTCGTTTACTCATTACCATTGATTTTAATACTACAAAATTAAAACTCTTTGCTGAACTTTGCAATTTTTTAACCTTATCAATTGGTAACACGTTTCGGTGGACATGCTCAAGATGGGCGACATGATTAGGAGGAGTCAAGTACGCAGCCCATTTGGACGCGTCTCATCCAAGTGGTACCACTTCTGACTGATTGCCACTCGAGGAGGGTGGCTCAAAACTGGAGGCTTGGTTTGCCCACATGGAAATCTTATTCCGTTCTGCCACTGCGAAGAGGCCGGAAAAAGGGTGGAAGTCCACGAAATTGAAGCAATTAAACTTATAAGTCTTAATGCACTCTATCACTTCCATTTGGTGTAAATCACACAAGTTAACAGAACACTTGTCCGTAATTGAAATGAAGAGTTTACTATCCGATCTTATCGTTAAATTAGTCATATTATATTTTGGGCAGTGTGCCTTTTTGATCAAACAGACGACCTGTTCATTTTTCCCAAATGTAAGGGAGTACACAGAATTGTTACTAGTACTAACTACGCATTTGTCTCTATTTAAGTAATAACTTAGGACATTCTCCTTCACGTCTATTATAAAACTGGAAACGAACTGATTCGTCATCCTAAAATCGTAGATTAAAAAAAGCGAAGGTTCGTAACATGCCAGGATAAACGAGTCTCCCCAAAATGGAACTGGGGAAATATCCAAAATGTCACTACAGAATTTCAATTCGCTATTCAAAATAGATTTCTCTTCTTTCTGCTTCGTAGTGGAAGATAACACTTTGATATTTGCAACACTTTTCTTTATTTTGTTAAAGCGTATGACCAGCGTGTTACTACTTCCTTCGTTCGACACACTGCATACAGTATTGTTACGCGGCAAATCTGTCTGCATCCTCAGGTCATAGATGGCAATGTCCCCATGGTGATTTACAGGAGTGACTATTTTTCCATTCACACAGTACGGCTTGGCGTATGTATAATTGTTGGCGTCTAATTTTACAGCACAATGGTTATGCTCTATGTCCCATAATTTTACCGACCCTTCTTTTGTTTTTACAAAAAAATGGTCCTTATCAAAAAGAGACGCATATAGTGCACTATAATTTGATACCTTGTAATTCCCTGTGCTTGTTAAATTATTTAAATCCCATAACGTGACCATTCCACAATCGCAGGTAGAGATTAACACATCTTCGCCGCAAAATTTCACGCTGCATATGTTGTCTGCGTGGTTGGTTAGGTAAAACAGCGCCTTTCCTTGTTCGCCTACCATGATTCTCGGGTTTTCCACGTCCATGTTCAGCTCGTCATGCGTCAACGTGGAAAAGGGTGGAATAAATGGGGAGAGTCACACAAAACTGTACTTTAAAGGTGTACCTCTCCCCAATTTTGCCCCTTAAAAAAATGGCTGCACAAACCATCCGATGGGGATACCTTCCCCTTCATATCCCCACTTGCTAATCACCAATTGGAGATGGGCAACTCAATATGTTCATACTTCTCTGCGTTCAACATGTGGAGAGGGAAACAAAAAAAAAAGTAAAAGGAGCCGGGCACACCAATTTGAAAAAAAAAACGCTTCACAAAAAAATGAACAAATGGGCGTAACCTACGAATGACACCCACCGTGAGGGGGCAAAACAAAGGACGCCAAATTGGGGACGGAAAAAATATAGGGCGCTGAAAAGGTGAGCCAGAATTGTCGGGCATTCAACTGTGTCCAGGCACACCGACACTTGTAAAAAATAGGTAGGGGAAGAAAATGAGATGGGGGGGCTTCATATACCCATCTGGAGGGCCCCCTTCTGCCGGCGCAATCCGTAGTCACGCCAAGAGAAAAGAGGGGGGAAAAAAAAGAGAAAAAAAGAAAAAAATTAACCACACAATACACAAATTCGATGCCACTACCAGTTTAACGCCGCTAATCAGGATACTCGCCGCTCCACCCCGCGGCGCTTCACTGGATGATCCGGATGGGGTCCCTGAACTTCCAGTGCAGCGCGTTTATCTCTCGCTCCAGCTTATCCGTAAACAGCATGTTCTCCGTGAGAGAGTACAAGTTCTCGCGCAGCTGCAGGAAGTCGGACACGCCGATAACGGTGGACGTGACGAACGATCGTGTGTAGACCCATTTTAGGGCGGCCACAGTGAGGTTTGGGAAGTAGTACTTTTGACTTAAATAATACAACTCCCGAATGATATAAGTAGCTATGGATCCTCGCAGACGCTTCATGTAGGAAGGAAACTTTTGCATTCTCCCCTTAGTCGTGTAATCCGTGTACTCTAAATACTTCCCCGTTAAAATGCCCGCACATAGGGGTGAATAAGCCAAAATAGAAACATTAGCATTCTGGGGTCGACAAATTTCAAGAAACCCTTTTTCTACATCATTACGACACAATAAATTGTATTCTAACTGCACCGACACGGGGGGAGATATGTGTAACTGTTTGCATAAATCGTAAAATTTGAGTAAGCCAAAGGGAGTTTCATTACTTAATCCCCATTCTCTAATTTTCCCTTTTTTTTTTAACTCATTAATTGCTTGCAGCTGCTCTACAAAGGGCACAAAGTCGTCATAGTATTTGTTATAGTCGTAAAGCACGTCACCATAATCTCCCGAAGACTGATTGGGATAGTACCTGTCTGGCCAATGCAGTTGCAGCAGGTCGATGTAATTCGTCTTCAGTCTCATCAAGCAGTTATCCACACTCGAAATAATATTCTCCTTGCTCAGTGTGATCATGTTGTCCTTTCTCTGACTCTCCTTCCACTTCTCCAGTTTTTTCATCTTTTCCAGTGCTTCGTAGTCCTTTTGCAGATATAGTTCCTCCTTTCTTTTTAGCTCCTCGAGCTTTTCCATGGGGCTTTTGCTCTCCTCCTTGGAGTAGGGAATCTGATCGCGATTTCCCTTGTTGTAGTTGCCCTGTGCGTTCGCCTGTGCTTCTCCCCCGGAGTCATGTGTATAGGCAGCTACACCAGCCGCTGTTCCAGTTGCCCTCCCCCCCTTGTACTTCCTAGCCCAAGGAATCTTATCCGTCCTTCCGCAAATCTTCGTCGCGATGACAAACTTATGCCGGTTGGCCTTCCCCTTTGCCCTAATCCAGTTTCCTAAAATCTCCTCCGACAACCCAAAGTAGTTCTCGCTAACAGGCAAGGGATATATTTCGGCCGTATCGAAAAAATTCACCTGGAACTCTTCATAAGCATAATCAAATAGTTCGTGGGCCACTTTCTGATCCACATAATTTCCGAAATTCATCGTGCCTAAGCAAATTTCAGAAACAGCTAAATTGCTATTCCCCAAATAGTGGTATCTCATAACGGGTTTATCTTTCCCATTTTTTTTAACACAATAAAGTTGGCTATATTTTTGATACTCGATTAAATTTCCGTATGGATATTTTACATACCTCCATGATTCTAATCCTATGGGTTCTCTATTGCACCCCCCTGTCAAAACATCACTTAACATTGGTTGCCTAAAAATTTCATTATCTAGCTTTTTCTTAGGTATGATAATTTCTTTCCCATAATATCTTCTGTCTTCCTCTAACTCTGATTTGTATGGTGGTGTCTCATGCACTGTGTTTCGAAACGGTTTGTAATAATTTCTCCTTTTATATTCGAAGTAGTAATTCCTTTCTTTGTCGTAGTACGTGAGTATATAATCATATGTGGGATTGTCGAAGTCTGCCTTCACCAACTTGATATTTTTATTTTCATCATAATCTAGTGGGAGCATAATCCAGTCCTCCTCTTTAATGCCCTGATTTTTTATGTCAAAAGATCCTTGGAAATTTTCTTTGGCCTTCTTCAATTCGTCTTTGTCCCACAGATCTTTTATTTTCTCATAATTTGCATTATCCACGATGTATATTCCTTCTTCTAAATTGTACACACGATATTCTATGTCCACTCCCCTGATGTTAATTTTTTTTGCTTCCATTTCTTCTACGTATCTGTAGGTCACTTCGTCTTCTTTCAGGGGGCGGCGATTCTCCGGTGCAGCGTCAACACCCAATTTTTTTTGTCCATACTGGTTTGTTACTCCTGTGGGGAAAGTCTGCCCCCGGTTATTCTTCCTTTCCCTCATCAGGTTAAACATATAGTCGCTGGAATCTCCCTTGTGCTCATCCATGTGTAGCGCGAATTGTTTGCTCTGGCTAGTACGTTCAATCTGCTTCGTAAGCACGGCTTGCTTGGTCCGCTTGGTACTCCTTTTTGTCCCCTGATCTAAGTCTCTCAAGTGGTGCCCCCCCGTTGTTATGAAGTACCTCACTTGGATTTCTCTCCCCTTTTTGTTCCATTCGGGTTGGAGGGGTTCCCCCCTGAGGTGCCGTTTCAGAGCGGCTCCCCTCCTGCTGCAGATACTGTTTCCGCTACTCTTGCCGCTATTGTTGCCTCTATTGTCGGCACTACTTCCACCGTGAGCAACTGAGCGGGTAACTCTGCTTTTCCCTGAAAGATGCCCCACTCCATTGCAATTCGCTTCTGCCCCCAGCAGGAACAACGCGCATAGAGCGTGCATACACCTTAACGCGTCCCTTTTCTTCATCTTCTCATTTTTTTTCTCTTCGTAGATTATCCGGAAGGGGAACAAAATTTAGATGGTCACTTCGCCCGCTGCTTCATCACAGCCATTTGGTTGCCCTCTCCCTCAAAAAAAAAAAAAAACACTGGCGCAAGCGTTTCCAGAGCATGTAGAAATTCCATTTCTCAATTTAAACTATTTCAATTTACACATTTGGTTCCAATTGGGATCAAAGAATGAAACGAGTTCAGAAAATTATCACATATTTTAACATTGAGAAAAAAAAAAAGTGAAGTGGCCAAGTAATTACGCTTCCAATTTTTCGAACAGGATTGCATTTTCGCCAATCCGTGTGGGCTCAACAAGGACCCAATATTTGGCCACACCTTGGCCTAACATTTGACCCGAATTTGACCTAATATATATTTTTTTTTCCCCCGCGCCAAAGCGGTAGTTATATGTTTACCCATGTGCATGTTCGGCACTGGCTTACACATGTACAGATATGGCAGGCAGACATGGCACATCCCCACGGCTGGTCCGCCTCAAAACGTTCGGCCAGAAGAACACCCCCCCCGATGTGTTTCACAAAAGGGACGCCTTCAAATAACGACCTGCTTACCCGTTCGGCGCTCTCTGCTGCGCTTTTAAGCTTCTCCCCCTCAGAAACAGGGCGAGGGTCATTTTATTGTGCGCCTTTCTTACACTACGTTGCGCTTTTTTTTTTTGCACATCGGTTTGGCACTGAAAAAAATTTTAAATTAAAAATGTTGACGGTGAAGACGGGCGAAATTAAAGAGGGGCGCAACTGTCAAGAGGGAACCCGGCAAGCACGCACGAAGGTATGAAAATGCAAAGGTACGAAAGTGCAAAGGTACGAACGTGCGAATGTGCGAAGGTACGAAGAGTGGGCGAGAAAAGGGCAGACCACCGCCTGCCGCTTCAAATAAGAGCAGCTGCACAAAATAGGACAAAGGGGTGCCCTATGTTGATGCAGACAATTGTATCCTCGTGAGTCCACCATCGCGACGGCTCCCGCGGTTCACCGGCACACTTAGCTTTTTTTCCTCTTTGTTTTCTTCAAATTCTGGTTAATCGCCACGGAGAAGTCTATGTCGGATGAATCGTCATTCGAGACGACAGACGAGTCGGCGTGCTTCTTGGCACTCGCGTTCCTTTTCTGGTCCTGGAAACTTGGGTATCCCTTAAAATACGGGTTTGAGCGAACAGTGGCGTCTATCCTATCGTTCGCAGTTCTGGTGACACCCATCGGTTGACACTCTGGAGGGTTAGTTATCTCCTTTCGGGACACCTCGCTTGTTCTTTGCATTTTCAAATTATGCAGATGCGAGTTGCCGTCGCTGAATTCTTGTCTCTTTATCTTCCCCACATCTGCATTTCTAAGGTCCACTTCGTTTCCTGTGCCGAAGTTACTACTGATGTCGCTGATCTCGCTGATATCGTCATCATACTTATCCATGTAGGCAAACTCCTCACCATTCTTCATTCCCCTTTTCTGCTTCAATTTTCGAAGCTCTTCGTTTAACAGGTACTGACTTGTGCGCGTAGTGTCCCCTAGGGTTGTCTCCCCCTGCGCCGATTTTTCTTTTCCTTCCTTCTTCACCTCCTGCGAATATATGTACTGTTCATATTTCTTTATAATTTTTTCAATGTTGAGATTATTTTTTACTGATTTGTTGGTGGGGATAACCAGCGGTTTTGCATGAACACGTGCGTCATCATATTTTATGTGCACAGGATTGGAAGAATATTTGATCTGTAAATTTTTCTTTTTCAAGCTATTTCTTAAATGTTTATCTTCCTCTAACGCATCTTCTAAAATTTTCAAAATGCTTTTAACTCTTTTTTTCGCTAGCTCGATAGCTTCAAGTATTTTTTCATACGATATAGGGGACCCCCCCGGTTTCAATATACTCACTAATTTTCCGTTTTTGTTAAGTGCAACGGATAATTTGGAAGACATAAATTCTTCTTCCTGTATGGACGGATCGATCAGGCATATGGCTTCACAATTGAAATACGCAAAGGTAGTCAAAATAGGAGTATTATGAATTGACAAGGGGGTGTAACTTGTCTCCCCTTCTTCGATAATAATATTTCCACTGTTATCAACTGTCACTTCATTGTTTCGATAATGTACTAATCCACTGTAGGCAGACAAATAGCAAGAGTCATATAAATTCCCATCATTTTCTATGACAATAATGTTTACTAACAAACACCACACTTTCTTTTGGGGGATAATACACAAAGATTCAAAATTTAAAAGATTACTTGATTTTAAAATTCTTTCAATTAAATTTCTAATTTCCAAACATTCATCACTAATTTGGGAATTATCATTTGCGTTTGTAAAACTATCTATATCTAAATTTACTTTTACTATTCCTTCGTTTGGTTTCTTATCAAATGGCTTCACAATTTCACTCGTGATTCTGCATATAACTTTTGTGTGCCCAATAGAAACCTCTACATTTCCGTGTTCTCCCAGAAAGTATATCGAAATGTTTCTTGAATCTTCAAAATTTCGTCCATCCAATCGTAGCTTCTTTTTCAAGTTGCACCAGAAGAAGTTTGCATTGTTTTTGCAACTCTTCATTGTTGTATTGACATCGTCATTTGGAGGGGCAAATGGGACAACTACGTAAGAAAAAATTTGTAACGAATTGAGAATAAAAAAAAATGCCAAATGAGTCTTTACTTCAAAATTTTAAGGTCATTTCTACTTAAAGGTGATTCATTTGTTAGCATTCCCTCCTCCAACGTGTTAGGAAATTCCCCCTTTTTTTA